TACAAGTTACATATCTAAATTGTTTAATTCATATATTTTGTATATTTTACACAAAAAACTACGTCAAACTTAACACACATACAGTCAAGAGTTGCCTTAAGTATATCTCTATATTTAATTCGAATATTTAAGAATGAATTAGTTGTGCTTCGGGGAGATTTTTTGCTGCTCATTTTGTTGTTGTTGTTGTTTAATATTTAGCTTGATTGATGATCGTTGAATGATGATTTCTCTCTCTTGTTACTTACTTGTTGGAATCATAAATATTTAGTTTAGTTCAATTTATATATATTTAAGCTAACTATATACACTAACAACAGTCAAGTCGGCCGACTTGTTTGTCCTATTCGATTTCTTCATTCGGGTTGCTGTTCGAGCTGCTGCCGCTGGGCCAGCCTCGGGATTTTCTATTCTATACAATTACGTGATACATCGTAGCTATAGACTATACTTCGTGTGAGTACTATAAAAATATGTAAAAACATTGGCAAAAGTTGATGGAATGCGAGACGAATCGGGCAAGCGGAACGCGAACCACATTGAGAACCTTTCGCTGAATCAATGAATCCTCTTCCAATTAATTGGTTTTCCTTTCTCTTTTGTTCTGACTAAATTCTAAGCTAAGTTTAGATTTTTCAAGAATTTACGCTAAATATAAATATGTGTTTTATTCCTTTAGCTTTACGTTTTGCTTTAATTACTAAATACCTTGTATGCGTCATTTAGGCCTGTCTAACTGTCTGGGGCTTTGTCTATTTCATTCTTTTATCTTTTCTTTCTTTTATTAGTATATGTCCCCTATTAAATGTGCACCTCGCGATAGCTTTGGGTCATAAAGTATTTCAGGGCGCCGGCTGTTGCATTTGCCACAGCTGCACTGTGGGCGGGCGTTGTGGGCGGCGCTCTAAGATTATGTGAGGCCGCAGCAGCAGCTTCATCCTCATCCTCATCATCATCATCATCATCATTATCATGTGCAGGCTCCTCATCATCCACCATATACTCCTCTTCACAAAAAGAATAGCCCAAATCCTCATCTTCCTCTTCAGCAGCATCGGCTGCTGCTGCTGTTGGTGTTGCTGCTGTTGTTGCTGTTGCAGCAATTTGCTCGTGCTGCGGCTTGGTGCGCGCAAACATAAAGTCCGGATGCGTTTTAGTTAACACCTCTAATGCCTCTAATGAGGCAGCAGGATTTAGTTGACCCATCGCTGCTGCTGGCTGCTGTTGCTCCTGCTGCAACTGTTGCTGCTGTGCGGGCGATGCTGATGCTGCTGATGCTGCTGCTGCTGTTGTCGCAGGTGTCGGCGAAATTGGCTTAAAGGCATGTCGTTCGCTCAGCGCCAATGGACGAAAGATGAGTGGCCCCTGCGCCCGCTCCAGCTGCTGCTGCTGCAGCTGGCGTCGCAACTGTTGCAGCTTGCCGTTGGCCGTCTCTGTTGTCTGGAAGTGGAAGGTGTGATGTTTGCGCAGAGGCAAACGCATCGGGCGACGCACCACTAGACAGTCGTAGGCGCCGGCCGCTGCCTGTATGGGGGGCGGGGCAGTGGGCAGGGGCGGCACATATCTTAAATTGTGATTGCAGTCGACGGCAGTTAATTGACTTGCCTGCAGCAGCAATTCATTTGGCATTAGCATTTGTTGTTGATGATTGCCACGCCCACACCGCTGCCCAGGCCCAGGCCCATTGTTGATGCTGTTGTTGTTGTTGTTGTTAATTTGTTGTTCGACCTCTGATGCTGCTGCTGCTGCTGCTGCTGTGAACGATGTTGCTGCCGTGCAATGACTGTCGGCTTCAGTGGCGTTGTTGTTGTTGTTGCTGTTGCTGGCAGCAGAGGCAGCGGCATCGACATCGGCATAATGCCGTTTGATATGTGCGTAGGGGTCACTGATGGTCTGTCGTCGTAATTTCTTACTGCAGACGCTGCTGTTGGCTTTGCTGTTGCTGCTGGCATTGTTGTTGTTGCATTGCCGTTTAAGTGCTAAAAATGGATTAGTGGCCAACAATTGCGTTTGCTGTGGTTAGTTGCGGTCGTGTTTGTTTGTATTTGGTGTATTTGTATCCATCAAAAATCATATTTGTGTGTGAAGCAATCGTGACATGTGAAAGAAACCAAAATGAAGAGTATGAAACACAAAAGCAAATCAAATTATAAAGTGTCAAAGCTAAAGCAAAAGACAGTTGAGTTTCTTCAAAATCAATAAAGAAATAAGTCTAGAGTTAAGCTGTAAACAAATTGTCGTGCTTGTTGTTGTTGTTGTTTTATATGTGAGAGGCAGTTCTGGTTAACTGCTTTGAATACCCATTAGAAATTTAGATATTTGTTGCATATTTATATTAAAAAGGGAGTCGAAATAGGCAAACTTGATTTCTATAAAGAGCTAACTCTGTTGCTTTGATTACCATTGCTTATGCCGAAGGCTGGTTGGACTTGAGCTCTTTAGCTTTATTCCCACGTTTCCAAGAAAAGAGCCAGGAAGAGAAGGACATTGAGTAGAAATAGTAGGCGGAGCGAAAGAAGTGAGAGGAGCTTGGGAAGTTATTGA